CCTTGATATTTAAAACATGATGTGTCTGTTGTTAATTACATGTTCATCATAGAATGTATGGAAAGCTCTGTAAAGTAGAAGAAAAGAAAAAAATAACAACTGCCCTCACAAAATCTCACAACTCAAAGTTAACAACCACTTGTTGAGTTTTTGGTGCGTTTCCTTCCAAGATTTTTTGCTAGGTTTCTTTTTCTTTTATAAAATCTGTTGAGATAAAATTTAAACCATAAAGTTCACCCTTTCAAGTATACAATATAACATTTTTAGCAAATTCCCAATGTTGTGTGACCATCGTCACTATCTAATTTTAGAATATTTTATTACTCAAAAAAGAAACTTTGTACCCATTAGCAGTCACTCCAAATCACTCCCACCTCACCTCCAGCCCTAATTAACCATTAATATAGTTTCTGTCTCTGTAGATTTGCCTAGTCTGAATATTTCATAAAAATGAAGTCATACAGTGTGTGGCCTTTTGTGTCTGGCTTTACTTAGCATGATTTCAATGTTCATGTTGTAGTATGTATCAGTACTTCATTTCTTTTTATGGCCAAATAATATTTCATTGTGTGGCTATGCCATGTTTTGTTTATGCATTCTTCAGTTGATGAGCATCTGGGTTATTTTCATTTTTGGCTATTATGAATAATGCTGCTATGAATATTCATATACTGGTTTTTGTGTGGATGCATATTTTTATTTCTCTTGGGTAGGTACCTAGGAGGGGACTTAGTGGGTCATACGGTAACTGTGTCTAACGTTTTGAGGAACTCTCAAACTATCAACGTTTCTTTCTTCATAGTTATGATGCTGCTGTAATACAATCACCTGTACTAGCTTTCTGAGACTTTGATTTTCCCTAGTTTCTTTTTTTCAAATGTCCTTTTAAAAACAGCATTCAATTCAATAAGGCGTGGGCTAAGTCCTGGGAATGGAAAAATGACGAAAAGCTCGCCACTGCTATCAAGCAGTCCAAATCCAGTGGGGGGAGTAGACACATCAAGTTAAACCCCATGTGATCTGCACTATAGTAGAGAGATCTACTAAGTGATGAGACAGCACAGAGGAAAGAGAGCAAAACTCTTCTTGTGAAGTGGTAGGAAAAGAGTCTGGAAAGATGACTGTAGGTTCATCAGGGAGATGAAGACGGGGGTGCAGAGGAGGGGAGGTACAAGGGGAAGGGAATGACAAGTAGAGCCAACAAAGTGTGCAAAAACATGGCAGGATGAAAGAAAATGGCACCCAAGATGCTGAAAATAGATTGATGTGGCTGGAGTCTGAGGTTCTTTAAGGAGAAGGGCAGTTATGGTGCTGGTAATGTAGGTTGTGGCCAGATATTGAGGGCTTTGAATGACATATAAAGAATTCATCATTTAACATGTATCATTGGGGAGTCTTAGAAGTATTTGTGGCCAGGACTAGACAGGATTAGAATTTCAGAGTTTAAAAAGTACTTTTGAGATCCAAATATTACACATGTATATGGTTTAAAAATCAAAGAGCAGAAGTGTTCAATGTAACAGTCCTTTGCCCCACCCTTTCCTATGCCAGACCCTTTCCTTTTTTATTGGTTTCTCCTGGTAATCAGTCCCCTCATTTATTCCTAATAACATACAAAAGCTACTATTTCTTTTTTTCTTCCAGTTTTATTGAGCTATAACTGACATACAGCACTATATAAGTTTCAGGTTACAACATAATGAGTTGAATTACATATATCATTAAATGATTACCACAATAAGTTTAGTAAACACCTATCATCTCATACAGATACAAAATTAAATAGAAAAAAATTTTCATATGATGAGAACTTTTAGGATTTATCCTCTTAACAAATTTCACATATGATGTACAGCAGTGTTAATTGTATTAATCATGTCATACTTTATATCCCTAGTACTTAATTTATCATACAACTGAAAATTTGTACCTTTTTGCTGCCTTCATCCAATAACCCCTCCCCCCACCACACATCACCTCTAGTAACCACAAATCTTATCTCTTTTTCCATGAGTTTGTTTGTTTTTTTTTCAAGTGTAATTGACCAAAAACACTATGTTAATTCCTGGTGGACAATATAGTGATTATGTACATTTCAAAATGACCACCACGATAAGTCTAGTTACCACTTGTCAGCACACAAATATAGTACATAATTATTTACTATATTCCCTACACCATACGTTTCATACCCTTGACTCATTTATTTTGTAACTGGAAGTTTGTACCTATTAATCTTCCTCACCTATTTCTTTCATCCCCACCACCCCTCCCCTCTGGCAACAACCTCTGTTTCTATGACTCTGTTTCTGTTTTGTTGTATTTGTTTTGTTTTTTAGATTCCACATATAAGTGAAGTTGTACAGTATTTGTCTCTCTCTGTCTAACCTATTTCACTCAGCATAATACCCTCTAGGTCCATCCATGTTATTACAAATAGCAAGATTTCATTCTTTTTATGGCTGAGTAATATTCCATGTTCATATATATCACGTCTTCTATCCATTCATCTATCAATGAGCATTTAGGTTGCTTCTGTATCTTGACTACTGTAAGTAATACTGCAATGAACATAAGGGTGCATATATCTTTTCAAATTAGTGATTTTGTTTTGTTTGGATAAATACTCGAGTGGTATTGCTGGGTCATATGGTAGTTCTATTTTTAAATTTTTGAGGAGATGCCATACTGTTTTCCATACTGGCTGAACCAATTGACATTCCTACCAACAGTGCACAGGGGTCCCCTTTTCTCCAGATCCTCTCCAACATTTGTTATTTGTTGTCTTTCTGATGATAGCCATTCTGACAGGTGTGAGGTGATATTTCAGTGTGGTTTTGATTTGCATTTCCCTGATGGTTAGTGATGTTGAACATTTTTTTCATATGTCTGTTGGCCATCTGTATGTCTTCTTTGTTAAAAAAAGTCTATTCAGATCCTCTCTCCATTTTTTAATCAGGTTGTTTGTTTTCTCATATTGAGTTGTATGAGTTCTTTTTATATTTTGGATATTAACCCCGTATGGCTATATTATTTGCAAATATCTTCTCTCATTCAGTAGGTGGTCTTTACAGTTTGTGGATACTTTCCTTCATTGTGCAAAAGCTTTTTAGTTTGATGTAGTCCCATTAGTTTATTTTTGTTTTGTTTCCCTAGCCTGAGAAACATATCAAAAACAGAATTGCTAAGACCAATGTCCAAGAGTGTATTGCTGTGTTTTCTTCTCGGAGTTTTATGGTTACATGTCTTACATTTCTCTCTTGAATCCACTTTGAGTTTATTTTTGTATACAATATGAAAAAGTAGTCTAGTTTGATTCTTTTGCATGTAGTTTTCCAGTTTTCCCAACACCATTTATTGAAGAGGCTGTCTTTTCCCCATTGTGTATTCTTGCCTCCTTTTTCATAGATTAATTGACCATATAAGTATGAGTTCATTTTTGGACTCTCTGTTCTGTTCCATTGATCTATGTGACTGTTTTTGTGTCAGTATTATATTGTTTTGATCACTGTAGCTTTGAACAGTATAGTCTTAAGTCAGCAAGTGTGATTCTTCCAGCTGTGTTATTATTTCTCAAGATTGTTTTGGCTATTCAGGATCTTTGTGTTTCCATATGAATTTTAGAGTTAATTGTTCTACTTTTGTGAAAAATGCCATTGGTATTTTGATAAGGATTGCATTGAATCTGTAGATTTCCTCGAGGAGTATGGTCGTTTTAACAATATTAATTCTTCCAATCCATGAGCACAATATCTCTTCATCTGTTAGTGTTGTCTTCAATTTCTTTCATCAGTGTCTTATATTTTTCCAAACACAGGTCTTTTATCTCTTTAGTTAGATTTATTCCTAGGTATTTTATTCTTTTTGATGGGATTGTAAATGGTATTTTTTCTTAATTTCTATTTCTGATAATTCATTATTAGTGTATAGAAATGCTACAGATTTCTGGATATACATTTTGTACCCTGCAGCTTTACCGAATTCATTAATGAGCTCTAGTAGTTTTTTGCTGGCATCTTTAGGATTTTCTATGTGTAGCATCATGCCATCTGCAAATAGTGACTGTTTCACTTCTTTCTTTCCAATCTGGATTCCTTTTATTTCTTTTTCTTGTCTGATTGCTGTGGCTAGGACTTCCAAAACTATGTTGAATAAAAGTGGTGAGAGTGGGCATCCTTGTCTTGTTCCTGATCTTAGAAGAAATGCTTTCAGCTTTTCACCATTGAGTATGATGTTGCCTATAGGTTTGTTATGTATGGCCCTTATTATGTTGAGGTTTGTTCCCTCTGTAGCCACTTTGTTGAGAGTTTTTATCATAAATGGATGTTGAATTTTGTCAGATGTTTTTTCTGCATCTTTCGAGATGGTCATTATGTTTTTTTCTTCAGTTTTTTAATGTGGTATCACACATTGATTTGTGAATGTTGAACCTGGGACAAATCCCACTTAATCATGATGTATGATAATTTTAATGTACTATAGAATTTGATTTGTAATATTTCATTGAGGATTTTTGCATCTATGTTCATCAGAGATATTGGTCTGTAATTTTCTTTTTGTGTGTGTGATATCTTTGTCAAATTTTGGTATCAGGGTGATGCCAGCCTCATAGAAAGAGTTTGGCAGGGTTTTTTCTCTGCAATGTTTGAAATAGTTTGAGAAGGATAGGTGTTAACTTTTCTGTTAATGTTTGGTAGAATTCACCTGTGAAACCATTTGGTCCTGGACTGTTGCTTGTTGGTGGTTTATTTAAGACAGCCAAATGGTGGAAACAATCCAAATATCTATCAACTGATGAATAGATAGATTAAATGTGCTATATCTAGATAATACAGTGAAAATTTATTCCACAATAAAAATTAATTAAGTACTGATACATGCTACAACATGGAGGCACCCTGAAAACATTACAATAAGTGAAATAAACCAGTCATACAAAGCCACATATTATATGATCTCAGTTATATGAAATGTCCATAATAGCAAATCCACAGACACAGACAGTTGATTAGTGGTTTCCAGGAGTTGGAGACAAGCGGAATAGGGAATGACTGCTCACAGGTATAGAATATCTTTTTGAAGTGATTAAAATGTTCTAAAGTTGACTGTGGTAATGGTTGCACATATACTAAAAACCATTGAATTGTATACTTTAAATGGATGAATTGTATGATATGTGAATTATATCTCAATAAAGCTGTTCTTTTTTGTTGGTTTTTCTGGGGGTTTTGTTGTTTTGGGGGTTTTGTTTTTGTTTGTTTGTTTTTAGGAAGCTTCACTTAGAACATTAAAAAGAAGAAGAAGAAGCTGTGATCCACTCAGACCAACTCAATTAGTAGAAGTCATGTACAAAGTAATGGGGAAAGAAATATGGGACTTGAAGAGACAGAACCTTAGGATACTCTGGCCTCATAGAGGCAGTAACTGGATCCAAAGCTATTCTGGAGACCTTAGCCGCAGAACTTTAAATATTCACTCTTAGCCTCTCTTTTCATTCTTTCAGATTCAATACCCAATTCCAGATGCTTGATTTACTCTAGTTCCCAACTCAGAATCCCTTTTGCGCAGAATTTCCTGCCAGACCCCTTTTAAGGCACCACCAAGCAGACTGCCTTTTGATCAGATGACTTGATCCAACTAACCATGCTCACCCCTCCCCCAGCTTACCAGATTCAATTATTTCCTCTTCTCTCCCTTGCTACCACAGCACACTGAGCCTCTCTCTATTATATCCTTGATCCTCTTGGATTCTAGCCAGTAACTATACATTTCTCTCCCAGAAACCTGGCCTAATTTTTCTCTACTTCCTCCAGGGTGTCTGGCACAGCCAGGTACAATGTAAGTACTAAGTAAAAATGCATTCAACAATAATGATAATAGCATTTATCAAGTGTTTACAACGTGACAGGCAGTAAGCCCTTTTCATGAATTAACTCATTCAATCCTCACATCAACCCTATATGATAAATACTATTATTATCCCCATAATACCGATAAGAAAACTGTGGCTTTAGAGAAGTTAAGTAGTTTGCCCAAGATCATGCAGCTAGTAAGTGGCAAAGGTGGAATTAACCACAAATAGCCTGGCTCTTTAGAATCTGCAAATTCCAGGAAACCTGGAAGACTAGCAGATCCTTAGGATGACAGTGAATCAGGCTTCAGAGAGTTCGCTACAGGCTGGAATGATGAGTTGAAATGGACAAGGTGAAATGTTCTAACACCAAATATAATGTGTAACTAGCCTCCAATCCAACTGCAAAAGTCTAGAAAGGGGAAGATGGGGCTTAGCAGCAGCAAATTTTCAAGCCCCTTTGAACTTTCCCCTTTCCTTTTATCTCCTCAATTAACCATTTGCCAAGTGAGGCTGCAGTCACTTCTGTGATATTTTCCCCACCTTTGCCCTACTCTCTACTCTCACTGATCCTGCCCTAGTCTAAGACACCACCATCCCTTCCCTAGACCACAGCAAAATTCTCCTAGGTGACGTTGCCTCCAGCCACTCCTTTCTCCACACCTCGGGTGATTATAAAACCCTACTTGGCACACTTCACCTTCAAGACTCCCTGTCTCTCCCCTTGTTAAAATTTTATTACCTCCTTGAGGTAAAGACCATACCTTATTTATCTTTTTGTTTCTCCCCACCACCACCAAAAAAAGAGACAGACAGACATAAACACACGCACACATATACACAATATGTGTTCAGTACAGTACCTGGTGTGATGAATGCTTCTTAAGTTTCCCGGGTCTATCTAAAAGAGCAGATTTTGATTTCTTCACTGAGGAAGGTAGAAGAAAGGCCTGCACCACCACTACCACCAGCGTGTCCCCACATCCCCAGCCTACCGTGACCTTGGGCATCCTTACCAGCTGAGGAGGCAGTATCCTTTCCCTCCTTGCCCTGGGTCATCAGCAGCTCTGTCTGACAGATATAGACTAATCTGATCAACAACTAAGCAAAACCACCTAGAGTTTTATCCAAGGGCCAGACACATGCAGACAACTAGCGTAGCTAGGTTGTTTCCATCTCTCAGGAAAGACTACACTATGAAGAGTAAGGTGCATGTATC